CTTCATTCAGTACCCAAACGTTCCAATACAAATGAAGCAAACGCACTCAGAACAACGAGCGATAAGGCAGTGGAGTGAGAAAGATGGAGAAAAAAATGAAATGTGAAATTTAAATAATATTGGAGAAATGATTTATTTCCTTTTTTTTTGCTGTGGAGTCGCTTTGCATTACATCTTTTGTGTGTGCATATTAAAGTCAATTTTTATTGCATGAATGGCGGTGGTCTGTGAATTAAAATGTACGAGAGGAGATGAATGAAGGAATGAATTGAGAATGAATTCTAGGCTTGTGAGATAAAAATGAATGTGATGAGCATTTAGCAAGGTGTCTAGTTCGAAGCAGGTTTTGAACTACTCAGTTGATGTCATTATTAATTTGAAATAACAAATATAAGAGTTCGAATCCCAATAGAACTCTTCTACATAATTTAATATGCTGACTAAAGAGTAAGGATTCGAACCATATCCCGTTCAAATCTCGACACTAAACTCTCTGAGTGAAATCTAGTATAATTTTCTGTAAATCACCAGCAAACAACCACTGACATTTTCACATAACCTTTCATACCAGTCCATCAATAACTCACATTAGCTACAGTTGATGACTCACATCAGCAGTCAGCAACTGATTATCAACCGTCATTAATCCACCATGCATCTAATCCCTCTAAATCAAATAAAACAAAAACATTTAAAGATTCTCAATTTATTTGATAAATGACAAGATTTAATTAACGTAAATTAAAAAATGCTTCAAACTCGACCTCACATCATGACAGAACATCTTTAAAATATTCATCATAATCATAATGATGATGATCGTCATCACATGCAGAATCATTTTACGACTAAATATATCAGTTCCCACTGAAAAATTTATTACTTTATTGCTTATTATTGTCATTTTCCTTCTTCTTGTTTTGAATAATTAATTATGCAATTTCGTTGTGATGTTTATTCGAGCGCATACTGACTGTAGTAACTGAAAATTATAATTTATGATCACTAATTAATCATGAACTTGTGATGAATATAAATAAAGTATAAAATCATAAATATCCTATTGGGAGTTTCTTTTATAATCGACAATAAAGTTTTTTTTTAAGTAGAATTTGTTTTATTAAGAAAATGTGGAAGTTTTTGCTGAAGGATGAGTTGCTGTGGAAGAGTTTTGTCTATTGGATGATGCTGGATAAGGATTAAATATTATACTGGCTCTAAATCAGCATGACACTGACACGTTGTTGCAATTCTAGTCATCCAAGCTAGCATTTTCTCAACTCTTTCTTAATCCTTCCAAAACAATGCGCCTTAACCTCCATTCATACAAATCCTCCATACTTCCAAACATCCATATTGTACCCTTTAGCATTTGTTTACTCATCCACCAAATTGATTTCAATATTTTGAATACTTAATGATATAAATGACTCATTTGACTCATCATTCTGCGTCATATTTAACGAGAAAAAATATATTTCGTTTAGAAAAAAAATAAACTTATGAGATGAGAATTCAAAAGATTTAAATGCACGGATGATTTTCCTTAATAGGAGATGATTTTGTGTATTATGCTGTGGGGGAAATAGTTTACTTCTAATTTAATAAATGGTGTAAAATGCTGATGATTGAGGTTAATTAAATGAAAAACTTTGTATTTTGGTTTGAGGGCTGATTGAAGGCTTTGTATGGTGATCTACTGGTTATGGAAGCAATAATGAAAGTTTTGAAGGATTGGTGATTATTCAGGAAAATGAATCTTTTTGTACCTAGTTGCAATGAGCTTCTAGACCCCTTGATATCTTTGGAAGAATATGTATATCCACAAACTCTCAAATATTTGACTCGCTAAAGCTATTCATGTCTAAACAGATCAACGAGCAATTTTTCAGTACCTCCAAAGCAACAATTTCACACCATTCCTCATATTATTCAAACTAAGACGTGTTTAAGTATGTTTCATTCACTTCCTTCCTAAATTTCCATCTAAATCTTTAGAAAAACTAAGAAAACATCACATTTGACATAATTCACAACCTATGGAAAATCCCTCGTCACGTAAAACTTGCGCACATCACACATGTTTGCCAAAAGCAAGCAATTTGAAATAAAAATCGAGGTGTTTAGTTATCCAAGAAAATAATCTCAAACATCAATAATCGGTCATTTTACAGTCGAATTGACAAAGAAGCGATAATGATTAAATAAGTACAGAAAAGACAATATTATTTTTGTTTAAAACGAGAAACAAAAAAAAAGAGGAAGATAAAGCAGAAATGAGAGAAAATATTCAAACTCCAATTTCAACAACTTCCTATCACACCTTTTCCTTCGGTTGACATACGTAAATTTAGCTTGAAGAGGTAATTTTCATTTTAGGAAAAGCAAACAGAGATGAAGTATTGATTGTAAAGGGTTAAGGTGGATTATAACGCATTTAGTAATGTAGGTTGCATCATAGATCATAGATATTGGGGATCTCTTAGATTTGTAGATATTGGATTTGATTCTGAAACCAAGGATTCAGTAACAGAGTAACTGGTGTTGTCCCCAAGCCTGTACATTCCAAGCTAATCGTAAGTGCATCATCGCATCACTATGGTAATGAAATATACATCCACAAAGGCATAGAAGTGCACTGAAGAAGTCAGTGCGTCAAACAATCAACATCTCATCACCCACATCATCCAAACTAGGCTAAAAAACGATCCCCCAACAACAGGCATCAAAAAAGAGATAATAAAGGAAAGAAGAGCCTCATTAAGTTGGGTCAGTTTATTTATTTTTATTATTATTTAACATGTTTAAAGAATCATCAATGAATGGGATAAATGTGAGCATCAAATGACACTTATAAAGAACATTTACATAATTTTTCTGTCAACTTGACTCACTCAATGACAATAGATGAGGAGAAAGAGAGAAAAGTTGTTGATGCTGTTTGTACATCGAGAAACAAAAAGACAAATATTTTCTCTGCTTATAGGTGTCACATTAAGTTTGTTGGTCTAAATGAATGAACGAAAATATACTAAGAGATTAGGCGGAAAGTTTTGCAGGAGATGATGGACGTGAGCGCATTTTTTGATGGAATTTAAGATTTAAACATGATTTTCGAAAGTTTTAAGCTATGATTTGATTCTAGGGATCCTGTTGGCACTATACTCTATACTCTCAACTCCAATAAAATGAACAAACAAGATTTATCGAGGCATGTCTTGAACATAAAGCTGACCAAATCTCAAGTGCACCTTCTTTTGATATCTCTAACGTTTCCCTGCCTCTAAAAAACATGTCACTCCTTCCCATCTCCTCCTAAGTTCAACTGTGAACATCATTCATCCCAATTCAAGTCATCAAGTCAAATCAACTCTCCAAACCATCATCTTACTAACATCCAGCTAATAACGAGAGTATCATTTGAACACGAGAAAAATAATGAATGAATAAGTTGACGATATTGAATGAATGAATGGATTTTTTGAGTTAGACAAACAGGAAGGAGGCATCATAAAACACACACATCGCTCAATTGGATATATATCTTTAAATAAAACAATCATGACGGTAAATCTCTAAAGGAGATGCGACAGAAAAAAAAAATCACATTTTTTTCGGTTGAAGTTTGGAGATAGATAAAGATGGACAAATACTTTGGTCAAATATTTAAAGTCTCAGCTTGTTAGGAAATTTATGTTGACAGACTAAGCTAATTTTCAGGTAAATGACGATAATCGGTCGGACGTTAGACATTAGCAATTGCACAATTCCATTTAAAAGTCGTGACTTGGCTAGGGATTTTTTTTTATGTGAGTGATGCAAACTTCCGTCTGGCGCTTAATTGATTCACAGCGAGATTTGTGAAATAAATCGATAAGATTGCGAACGGAAATAGTCAATCGAGATCGATAATTTTATTTCATTTAAGCATGAATGGAATTAATGAAATGGATTTATTGCTTTCTTATTGAATGCATTCATTTGCATGATTTAAATAATCAATTCCATTTCTACACCTACATGAAGTTCCTTTATTGTCTTTAGATGGGAGATTTATTGTGTAATTTTGTGTGACTGGGATTTAATGATTCTGAGCTGGTATCTAAAGCTGGTGTCCAGTCTCTGGTATCAAACATTGTATTGTCTTCTTTCCTATATAAAATCTATCGATCTGCTGACTAACCATTCGACCATAAACAGCCATAAACCTTATTTCACACTTCTTTATTCTTTAGTTTGATAAAAAATAGTGCAATAAATCTTTATCAACAAATATAATAAAATTTGAAACAATAACAGGAAATACATTACATACTGCAGTGATAAGCAATCTGTAACAAGCAACGATTGATAGTAGAAATATTAGAGGTGCACAAAACTCCGCAAAAAAAATATTTATCTAATCTCAATTTTGGATGAAAAAGTGCTTTGCACTCAATCAATTTGGACACTTATTTCCGACTTTAATCAGACGAAAATGGATCAATTGGTTATTCACTTGTGACGTCTATCATTTAGAGGAGCTAAAGTGACTCGATATTCAATAAATTACTGGAACCATGTTTGAATGTGAAGCTGTGTGGTTACAACAAAAGGCTTTCCATCTGACTTTGTTGATGGCTCTGTCACATAGTTTGTACAATTTGTCTGTCCGAACATTAAGCTGACATTCGTTCATCACTGTTCTGCGCCGTGTTGCTTTATATATTCGAATCAATTGCCTTAAAATTAGAAAATTTTGTAAAGTTTCCAAAGTTTCACAAAACTCGGTCAGTTAAATCAATTATCCAAGGGAAGAAGTGACAAGCCCAAGTGTTTAGATACGTCAAAATATCTATGAGAACCCCTTTTTGCAAATTAAAAATGTTTAAGCACTTCTGACTTATTGCAATAAAAGTTTTTAATCAATTCCCTGAAACACTTGAAAAATTAATAAGATTATAAAAATGAAATTTTGATAAGGACGTGTATAAAACATTGATTTCATTTTTAAGTTCATTTAGTCACAAACAAGTCATTAAACTGTGCCAAAAAATAAAGTGAAAATGAATGGCAATATTCTAGTGTTCGTGCTAGTTTTTCTGGCTGTTTTCAAAGCTAATTACGCACAAAATGAAGTGTTAAGCTGCAACTATTATATGACAAGCAACAGATATACTTGTGGACTTACAATTCAGAACATAAATGGATTCAACAATTTCACAGTGATAAGTGGAACTCACATGGTGAATAAGACTAATGCGGATGTTCAAGAGATTTCAAGTGTTTCTGGTTCCAATTCGAAGAATGTTCCATCAATACTTTGTAATTCATTCCAAAATACAGTTAGGATTGGGCTTACAAATATGCAAATACAGACTGTTGACGCTAATGCCTTTAGAAATTGTAAAAAAGCTAATTACTTGTCGCTGTACTACAACAAAATCACACAAATTGATGAAAAGGCATTCGAAGAAAATAAAGAACTTCAAACTTTATATCTGTACTATAATCAGATTCCAGCATTACATGAAAATATCTTTGACAACCTTGAAAGACTTACCTCACTGTATTTGGACAGCAACAAATTATCGGATTTACCAAAAGACATTTTTGATAATTTAAAAAATTTGAACACTTTGAGCATTCAAAGTAATCAACTCCAAATTTTAAGAAAGGAATGGTTTGAAGAGCTTAAATATTTGCGAACTTTACAAATTAACTCAAATCAAATCCAAATTCTTTCAGCTGAGGTTTTTGAGCCACTTATTAACTTACAATCTTTATCTGTGGGATCTAATAAGATAACCAATATTACCAACGATTTCTTTAAACCCTTGAAAAGCTTGACTTATCTTTATCTGCACAGTAATCTAATTGCAGATCTTCCACTAAATGTTTTCGATCCTTTAGTCAAACTGCAAACTTTATATTTGGGTTCCAACAAGCTGTCAAGTTTAAATATTAGACTTTTTGAACCATTATCAACTTTATTGAGTTTGAATTTGCAATCAAATCAAATTGTGGATATTCCATTTGATGTATTTACTCCATTATTAAGCTTGAAAACTTTAGATTTGAGTTACAATCAAATCTCAAATCTTACTTATCTCTTAACGCCATTAAGAAATTTGACTGAATTGCAATTAACTAATAATCAAATTGCAGAACTTCCATCATACATTTTTGAACCATTAGGAAACCTTCAATATTTATCAATTGGCTATAATAAAATCGTAGAGCTAACAGATTCTGTTTTTGATCCATTAGTCAATTTGTATTCATTAAATTTAAATTATAACAATATTACGGTTCTGCCAGACAATATCTTTACTCCTTTAAAGAAATTAACACAGCTACAACTTAATGGCAATCAAATCTCTGAAATTCCAACTGGAACATTAGACTCATTGACTAATTTAAACTACTTATACTTAGACAACAATCAAATCAAGGAGCTTGATTCAAGTATTTTCAATAAAACTGTCAATTTATATTATTTGACTTTAAATTCAAACATTTTGTCAAACTTATCTTCGGCAATTTTCGCAAACAATGGCAGATTGCAGAACTTATATTTACAATCAAATCAATTCGAGACTTTTCCATTGAACATCTTCAATCAGCTGACTACTTTGTATACCTTAAATTTACAAACAAATAAAATAACAAATTTAGAAATTGAATGGTTTGAGCCACTAAGAAATCTTCAAAGTCTTTATTTAAATGGGAATCAAATTAAGGAGCTTCCGGAAAAAATATTTAGTCCGTTGATACAATTAAGATACCTCTACTTGTACAGCAATCAACTCAAAGTTATACATTCTGAATCATTTGGAAATCTGTCGAATTTAATTGAAGCTCATTTGTACAGCAATCAAATTGATGCTATTGATGAAGCATTTATTAATAAAACTGGAGTATCACGAATGGATGTAAGAAACAATCGATGTGCTAATATTAACATTCAAGACTCTTCACCATCGAGACAAGCAATGAGAGAAGCTTTGGCTAAATGCTTTGAAAATTATCTCAATTGGACTCCAGGTAAAGATCTCTTAACTTGAATCCAGGCTTCTTTTTAATCTCATTTATTTCTAATAGAAACCACAACAACCTCAACAACAGTTTTCACAACTGAACAAACCTTACCTCCTGGATGCAGTGGTGCTAATATTTACGAGAGAGTCTGCAATGTTGAGGATAAAATTGAATCACTGTCAGAATTGTCATCAGAAGTTGAAAATCATAGCTCATTGATTGCCGAGATCCAAGATGAAAACAAGCAACTTAAAGATGCACTTGAGGAATTGTCGAATCAAGTTCTAATCTTATCTACTCGTCCGTGCTCATGTCTATAGATTTAATAATAAAATTTGACAAAACTTAAATTTGCATTCACAAAAATATAAAATTTGAAGTCATTTTAATGCAAATATGTAGTTCATGTATCTTCAATAAATGTTTGTGCATTTATGTGGCGTCCACCATTTATGATGATTGCCTTTTTGTGATTGCGATATGCCAGCAAAAAGTAAATAAATAAATAAATTAAATTCTTCTTTTAATTCCTTTTTGTACAATGAGTTTTATTCCTTTTGAGAAGGTCCTTGTGGTGGAACTCGTCAGATTTTTTGTCATCTGAGTTCTAGTGATACTCAAAATGAATGTTGATCAGGATTCTCAACTGCAAAGCTTCTAATTTATGAATTTTCCAAATATTCATGAATCTCCAAGGATACAACAAGGATACAACATTCTGACGAATTCTACACATTCCCATGTACATTTTATGCTTGCGCAATCTTCATGGGCATTAAACCATCCATTTGGAGGTTTTGCATGGCGTCGACATAATTTATGCATAAATTATGCATAATTTATGCATAAATTGTGCATAAATACTGCATAAATTATGCATAATTTTTGCATAAATTATGCATAATTTATGCATAAATTATGCAAAAAATTATGCATAAAATTCTGCATAAATTATGCACAAATTCTGCAAAAAATTATGCATAAATTATGTAGATTATTTAATTTTATTACAATTCTTGAACATCAAATATTTTTAACTTTTATTTTTAACTAGACATCGTTGATAGCTTGGGTTTGTTTTATTAGCTCAGATTCATCGTATTGTTCCGGGGTCGGTCAATTAAAAGTCTTGAAAGAGTTTATTTATACTATAATTATTGATTTTTTTTTTGTTTTCAGTGTAACCTGCCCAAATTTTATTTGAATCATTATTTCAACTTTTTTGAAACTCCATTTTTCCCACATTTTATTCAAATACTCTCGTATAACTTAGTTTTCCTATTCATAGTATATATCGATGGAAATAACTCTGAAGATGCTATCTAATGCCGACATTTTTGAAAAATTTGAATCGGTTTAATCGGTTCAAAATTTAGAAATGTATGCTTCTTAGAAAACATACTTCCGAACTGTTTGAGAATAAGATTTGATATCTAGTTTTGTAGCTTATAAAAATCGATGAAGCTTTAAAAGGTTTTTGGATCATTTTTTGCATCATTACATCATTTTTGAAGAGGTCAAAGTTTTGAATTTCAAATATTTAAATCTCTTATAAGTTTTGAAATTTGTATTTAATCTAGTTTAACTAACAATTGAAAATGTTGGGGTAAATTAGTAAATGATGTCACAATTTTGATAAAAGTTATATAACACTTAACTAAACTTCTTTTTTGGCTTATTAATTGTAAATTAATCGAAAAACCTTTTATGGCGTTTTATTGTGTATAAAATTACCTTTAAAATGAGGAATCATGTTTGTGGTTTGTACTCCAGTGATGTCGAAAAAAGTTTTTGACTGTTTTGACACATTTTTTGAAAAGTTTTTAAAAATTGAATAAGTGGAGCAAAATGTTTTTTGCAAAATGTGTGCTATTCAAATGTATTTTTCAATATAAGATTTAATTAAATTAAACATAAGTAACCGAATGTTGTTTCTCAATTTTGTAAATCACATAAATCCGATTATTCGAAAAAAAATTCATAGAAAAAAATTGGTGATTTCGAATAAAAATAAAGATAAGAAACTATGTGGATACTTTGTCTGATTACTCAGGAAAATCAAACATGGGATGCACGTTTGAAGACTATTTAAGAAATGATTAGAAATGTCATTAAGACAGGATATCTATTAATTCAATAAAACAATAAAACATACCCTAACAGTCAAATGAGTATACTCATGGTACCATACCAAAGAGTTTATTTTGAACATACTCTTGAGCAAAACACGAAGTCGACTCGAGATTTTCATCGATTTTGTATGGAGGAATCGACTTGACTCCATACAAATTTTCATCGACTTCTGCTCTTGATTATGTTACGGTATCATGAATATACTTACTTGTCTGTTAGGGATGTTTACTTACTTTTCACGCTTTATAAAGCTGGATGCCTAAATTTATACTAAATTTCTTGAAAATGTTTCCTAGGATTCTCTTCTACAAATCACAAACATTTGGTTTGCATATCCATCAGGAATTAAGGCTGGCAAAAGCCAAAACAATAAATTAATTTTTATCTCAAAAATAATTACGCTAATACCTATAGAAACATTTCAATTTTATTAAAGTTTAACCAAGTGAGATAAATTTCTAGTTTGATTTCAAGGGGCATACAAATACGCTTACGCTAACTATTAATAGACCATTTAATCGGAGAATATTTAACTGATATGTAAGTTTTATGGTTGCACTTGAATGTTAAATTTTAACTAAAGAAATAAACAATTAAATCGACAAACAATCGAGTCACAGTATTTTCGAGTCCGGAATAACTGTGATATATGATCGATTTACTTCTTTTCTACTACTGTACTTTATAAGAAACTAACAAGCTTTAATTGAACAACGTTAAGTTACTAAGCTGGCCAAGACTTATATAATCCATTTTGGTAACATCACAAAAAGGACCATTTACCAACTGCTTATCGATTAAACATGGAGCTAACCCTTAAATTTTAACCATAGCGTATAACTTATTATTTTATAGACAAGCCAGTAACTTAGTCTTTTTTGGTGTGATTTTTTGTCTTCATTTATACATAAATTATGCATAATTTATGCAGAATTTTTATGCACAATTTATGCATAATTTATGCAGAATTTTTATGCACAATTTATGCATAATTTATGCAGAATTTTTATGCAGAATTTATGCAGAATTTTTATGCAGAATTTGTGCATAATTTATGCATAAATTATGCATAAAAATTCTGCATAAATTATGCACAAATTCTGCATAAAATCTGCATAAATTATGCATAAATTGTGCATAATTGTGCATAATTGTGCATAAATTATGCATAAATTGTGCATAAATTATGCATAAATTATGCATAATTTATGTCGACGCCATGGAAGATAATCCATCCATTTCCATAGACATACGGCCTTTTATTTTGCGCGACTGACTTTGTCGACACAGTACAAAATGAAAAACATGTTAAATGCACAAAACTTTATTTTAGATCAACTGATATTGTGTGCTGAAGGAATGTTTAATTTCTCCTTACGCTGCGTCTCCCAAGCTCTCCTCAAGTTTACTTTTTCATGTGTACCCCATAAATACAATAAATAAATTTTATTCTTTTTTTCACCGACCAAAAAAAAAAAGAGAGCGACATTATCGTTCATCTGATACATTTTTATACTAATGTTGAGATTTATGCTTTCGAAATGAAGATTTATATTTACACAAGAAATTAGATGAGGAATTTTTTTTCCTCTTCCTTCGCTTTTCCTTCTTATTTTTTTAAGGTTGTGCGGCATCATGACACACGGGGGGAGGAGAGAGATGGAGAGTTGAGAAAGACATTATGGTTAAATTTTATGGGACGAAGGAAGTGTGCTGAAATGGTGGATGAGGCGCATTTCTTGGTTAATTTTGCCAATTTTGGTGTGATTGTGTGAAATAAGGCAAAGGTTGTCTTTAAGGATGAACCTTACTTCTAGCTTCCTTTTCAAAAATGGACGAACCGCATAATTCCAAAAAAATTGAATCCAAATCTTTGAAAATACCAAAATAATAATGTCAGTCAGTCGAACTCTAATCCATTGTCCTTTTTTTCATCCCTCAGTACAAAGGCGCTCAAAAGTATCCCGAAAAAAGTCCTTTCCAAACCCAACAACATGATAATAAGTAAACACAAATAAAAAATCTCACAAACATTCTTATCAGCATGAAATTTCATTCTTATATTTCATCCAAAACAAAACTATTAAAGGACCCACCTCAATGCATCATCAACAGCTTTATATGTTGACTTGTCAAGTCTGAGATAACGTGATTGACTTTTAACAAAATAACGAAAAAAGAATCGACGTGAAGAGTTAAAACAACTCATCTCCACAAATGTCCATAATTAAATTAATTTTTCACACTTAAACAATTCCATTAAGACGAGAGAGATTTTCATTTCCCACGAATGTGTGTGCACGACAAGCATAATTCGATTTTATTGATCATTTCTTGTTCTTTTCGGAGCAGCATGAATAAATTTGAGTATGTTGAGTGCTGTTGGCGGTTTGTCTGTTGTGGATTTGGTGGTTTGGATGTTGATTTTAGTAGGTTAAGCATTTCTTAGAGTCTTAGAATTCCATGAGTGATACATGCCCTAATAATTAGTGACTCTAAACCAGCTCGATGTCAAAAATGAGCCAATTTTGACTCCATACCATCCTGAGAACAACATTTAGTTGTTTCTTTCTCAAGATCTGCTTCTTTAAGTTCCTTTATTCACCCTAGACTGCGTTCATGCCACTTATATCCCGCATCAAACCCCTCAACTTGTCAATCTCTCCATAAAATTATTCCCATTCTAAAAAAAGGCACAAAAACAAATGATTGTGATCATCATGAGACTTAGAAGATGCTCCACAAAATAAGTAACATAAAAAAGAACAAGAAAGACAAAAGGGAATAAAGAAAACGAATCGAGATCGTATCTCTCCGCATTTTAAAGACATGAAAAAAAAGGAAAATAAAAAAAATGTTTTTAACAATTTAATCAAAATATTTGTCAACCGAGAAACGCGACAAAAAATCAATTTAGATCTATCAAATTGACACACAAAGTGTTGGACATCGTTAATATACACACATCGTCGTATCTACTTTACATTCATCGATTGATCTTGTTAATGGTTTGATATAAATATTTTTGTTTGTTGTCTTACAGCATGTCGGTTGTGGATGATGAAGATGTTTGGACATATTTCACTTTTAGGGATACTTGTTGGTCGGGACTTTGAGATGATTTAAGGTTTGTGTTGATTGTTTGTGGTTCAGAAAAGTTTAGATAAGTTATGGATCTTAGATCTGGCTGGATTTAATATTAAATAGGAATTACTCTAGTCCTGAGATCAATTTCTCTTCTAGTAATGCCGCGAGCTTGTCATTACAAAGATTGAGTGGATTCTAGCAACATTTTGACTATGTCGTGCTAGATTCCAATGAATCCTCATCAACCAACATCCAATCCAGAACCCCTAATCCCCCACACATTCCCAATCACACATGTACATCCAACAGATAAATTC